AAGTTATTTCGTGGAAAACCTGTAAACTAGCTTCTAGCTAAGTATTTCTCCACGTTAAACTGTTTATTATTATTATTATTATTATTATTATTATTATTCTTATCATTATATTATTAAGCATCAAGTCTTTGATGTGCAGCGACAATACTACAGAGTGACATGAGTTCGGCTACTTTCTATATGAACCCGATGAAACTATTGCATTTAAATATCTCATCTGTAATTGATTTTGCAAGTTATTTGCACCATCGTTTTTATCAAAAAGTGGGGACGCCGGGATACAGTGACCATAAATAATAGATAACTTGCTCACTATCTCTTTCTGAGACGCGGTGAGTTGAGAAGTTAGAGAGGATAACATTGCAAACGCATCAAATGACTTTCCCGGGGAACTAACAGATCTTCAAGACAATCAAGGTGAGCAAGACGCAATAATGTCAAATGTATGGCTGATCAGACTAAAAGTGGAAGGTGGGGAGACGGTGGTTCTGGACTGGTCATGTTACGACATAATGAAGTCAGGAATAAACAGATCCAGCGCATACCAGTTACTGGGAACCAGTAAGAGAGGTTGACTAAAGGAGAAAAAGGCACGCACAGCGTGCGCACAGCAAGGAAGCAGGCTCAAGTGTTGGACTAAGGCCATGGTTGTAGTGAGTGTTTGTACCGTAAAGGTGAGGGGAAGGAGAGGTGATAATTACAACAACAAGCACGAAACTCTGATTGCCTCTTCTTCATGCATATTTGTTGAATACAGCGAAAATTGGAAACGTCTCCTCTCACGCTGTCAATTTGTGCGAATCATTTAGGCACGAGAAACTGGACAAACATAACTCTTAGCGAGGCTACTGACAAAGTTAAATTTCCTTTTGTATCTCAGATTCTCAAAGTCAGCAATTTAGCAATCAACGCAGTGGTTGCAGTTTCTGTGACGAACCCGGCACGCTTTCCGTCGCTCTGCCTTTTGCATCCTAGAGACATCAACAGCTGCTAGTGTTCGGCATCACGGTTGATAACTGTATCTTACGATTATATCCATTTTAAAAATAAATCATCTTGCGGCTTTTATCGAGTAGCATCGCTTGCGTTACTAACAGGAAATGGTGCAAGAGCTGATTTTATGGCATTATCAGAAATCATAATCATATGTCTGAAATAGTGAATATCCATGAAATTGACAGAGACCACCACAAATTCAGCTTTTTATGTCTTTTATGCGAATGAATTTTCAAAGGATACGGCCAATCCTTTATGACACCAGATCTTTGCTTCATCATACAACTTAAGCTGCACACAAGCTTCAGCTCCTATGAATATGGTGGAAAATGGTTAGAGTATTTTTTTGAGAAGACAGAAGAACTGCACTTTCAATTCACAAATGACGATTTATGGTGTATGACCACATAGATTTGAACCAGGGAATTTTATGTCAACGTGGTCAGAGTTATTGTAAGTAACTGAATGGCGGCTAAACTGAAACTCACCTTTCTTCAAGGCCTTCGTGAAAGTTGGCTCCAATTGAACAGCAACGGTGGCATCCTACAGGCTGCTTTCGAAGTTTTCTAGAAGAGGGATGTAGAGGTAATTCGTCATTCGCGTCTGATAGGATAGTGAAAAGCGCATCCGTCACGTAATGTCTTGTATCTCATTTGAAGTGATGGACAAACGATCCGAAAAAATAGCGTCAAATGGAACTAGGTAACTCTTTTTGAAGACGAATTTTTTAAGAAAACTATGAATAATTCAACATTAAAATTCCATACCTAAATGGAAATTAGCTGCTGCCCTGTTACTATAAAGTTTGGCTGTTACGTGGTAATCTTTGCAATTAAGTTGAAGTCCTTCGGTGTAGAGTTGAAACGCATTATGAAAATCTCCTTGTTTGTATTCTTTGTTGCCTTGCTGAAGACATTCCTTTGCTATCACTGAAAATGCAGGAAACACCGAAATGTCACTCGTTATGACCGCTAACTTGCAATACCTCACATATCCACCAACACTTAGTTCATGTCCCAAATTATGTATGCACGTACTCGGTATTCATTTCCCATGTTTTTTTTTATGTATGCTAAATTACTCGATATTCATTTCTCATATTTTTCAAGTAGAATATGGGTTTTTATAATTTTGAGAACATTTTGAGCAAGGTTTTTTCACGAACAGGCAGTTGCTCTTGATTGAAAATGGATCAACAAAAGTAAACAAAAACGACAACAACAAAGAAACAGCTACAACAAGAAAACCAAAGATATTTGAACGACTAATAGCAAAAAAAGTGAATAACTGGTTTAAAGCACGGGGACACACAATCAACAAACACGCGATTCGTTAGATTGATCTGACATTTGATTGGGCAAGACCGTAACGGCATTTTGCAAACAATCGCAAAACGAACTCAAGTAAAACCAAAGAGATCTGGAATTATTTTTTTCCGTTCATGTACGTTACTGTTCATAGCGTTCGATAATTTGAGCTTTTCAAGACACATGAGTCACATTTA